TAGCATATGAAAGACTACTTATAAATACTCTAATTTGAATGTATTCAATTTCAAAATCTCTTTAAGCATGCAATTGGATACCTGATGTGCAATGTGGAATAACAAATTATATAAAGATGAGTTCTTCACAAAATTGTTTGTCGCATCAGTCAATATGTCGAAACTATAATATAATAAAGTTTTCTTAGCTTTTGAGTAAACAATTGAATAATTATTTCCCAATAGAATAACTAAAAGAAAATTTAGGCATACTATACTTCCCAATCCAAATTCTTGAAGACCATTAATACACGGGTAACAGATCACAAATTTAACTATACAGAATAAAACTCAATTCAACTTTAAACAATCAATAGATTAATAAAAAAGCATCAACAAATAATTAAGGGTAGACTGGTTTTAGCACAAGAAAAATAAAATTACCCAAACCTAGCTTCAGCTCTCCGCTAAGAAATCAAAGGCAAGAATATTGGAGACTTATCCGAATCAAGAGACGCTTCTACTTTGAGATCTGAGACTGATAAACTTTCGGATATGGGTGGAGCATAGAATACGCAGGCGGAGATAGGAGCGACGATTCGAATCCATATAAGGTTATATATACTCTTGGTGCAAATGAGAAATCCGAAAATGGGTTAGGGCTCGCAGTGGGGAAGAACAAGACTGAGTACTATTCCTTTCTTCCCCTGAAAGGATTTAGTATATTAAGTTTTTTTTTTTTTTTAATTTAATAATAAGGAAGTCAATATTAAGTGTTTTTTTTTAATGACTAATGGGTCTATTATTATATAAATAAAAAAGAACAAGATCCTCTAACTATATTGTATGTATTCTTTTTTTTAAAAAAAATCAAGAAACGCTTACTTTTTGTTTTAATATTTGTGTACATGTAAATTTGATGTATGTATAATTTTAAATATCAATAAGCATGTTTCTATTAAATTATTTGCCAAAAAAAAAATCAACTAAATAAACATGAAAAATATAATTTTATCATAGCATATTTTTTATATTCCCTATGATTTTATATTATGAAGATGATAATAGTTGTGAAGATATTGAGATTTGAATTTCATAGGATCCAATTTTTATAGAAATTTTACTAAGATCTGAGTTTCCAATAGATGTTGGTACGTTAGTGAGTCGAATTTGAGTTGATCACAACCAACTCAGATTCGGCTCCATTCACGTCAAATTGGACTTGGGTCGGTTCTATATCTTTCTCGTACTTAATGTTTTTGGATTCATTGAATCTTGTTCGAATTCGGTAGGATATTAGATCTATTTTTGGATAAAATGAAATCTTCATTTTTAAAATTCACTATAGAATAATTTTTTTAGATGAGTTTGTTAAGGGTTATTTATTTAACTAAAGATTTTGAAAAAAAAAAGGAAATCAGGTCATCAATGGAAGCGAAAAGAAGGAGATTTGAACCCTCGATATCGGTACAAATGACTCGTACAACTGATTATCAATCCGACACTTTAGTCAACTCAGCCATCTCTCCCAATTGGAAAAAATTAGCTCATGTGTTCAAAATTTCTTAACTAATAATATTCATGGTTTTAGATGAAAATATACACAAGTGAATTATTAACTAATATTTTTTTAAACCACTGATAAACTATTATTAATGTTACTTATTTTAATAAAATATTATTAATGTTACTTATTTTAATAAAACGTTATGTATGTAAAATATTAAGCCAAATTATAAATTTTTTTTTTTTTTTTTTTAAGTTTTCCTCGATTTTGAGACTACACACAAATAATTAATTTAGTAATCATTATTTTAATTGCAATATTTTATAACTTTGAATGTATGTAAAGGATATAAATAGATTGCATTACAGTATCTCTTTATTTAAAATATTGATTCTGGATTAATTATTTTTCGGTAGATCCAAAATAATATATATATATATATATATATTATTCCATTATTTTGAGTAAATAAATGTGTAAAACAAAGTCTTATGAGCTCAATCTTTTTATTCAAAAACCTAAACTAAGTTTAAATATCATCTCAAGTTTGATAACATAAATTAAGTCAAGCTCGTGGAAATATTATTTAATTCTACTAGACTTGTTTACAATATTATACAAAAATATTTAACTAACTATTAAAGTTTATTAATTAGTAAAATTTTACTTGCAATAAATATATACTAAAATTAATTAATCTATCAAAATTTCGTTGCTTCACTATATTTGTTTGGCGCCTTTTATTCGCTCTTTGTTACCGCCAAAATCACACAAGGATAAGGAAAGTGATATATACACTTAACTTCCCTTTAATCACTTCACTAAATATTCTCTTTTCTATGTTTATCTAATGTTATGTGACTAAGGATTCAGATGACTTGCACAACAACAGAACACAAACTTCATCTTTCCGACTTTCCCTTGCCTCTCGCCCTCTCCCACAACAATCTCTACACACATACATATAAGGAGTAACCCTCCAACCCACCACTAACTTGAGGCCTTTACAAGAGTTCCATCTATAGAATTCCTGATTTGCAGTAATAAATTGGTAAATACTTTTTATTTTTTATTTTGTTGATTTCATTCATGATTTTTAAACTTCTCTGATCCACTTTAATTGAGAATTGAACTTTGATTAAGAAATTTTGATTCTAATGTATGTCTGTGATGGAATTTCAATCTGATTGTGATTTTAGCCCTGTTTTGCTAACAATTTATGTGCGTTGTCCTTGCATAGGGGAAAGAAGATCGAAGAGCAAGGTTGCAGGTATATGCTATTTGAGAAGCATAATGTTCCCTCAATTTATGTTGTTGGTTTAATAATTTTGAATTATGCCTCCATGATAATGGTATCTTCCCCTTTTTGTTTGAGGACTCTTACACTTGCTTATTTGTAATATTTGACTTTTGATCCGATGATTTTTCAGTCTCTTGAATGTTGCTTGTTGAGATGAAACCGGGTCTCGATGTGAACTTTAGTTTGTTATATCATAGTAACTTTATGTCCGGTGCGTTTAGGCATACTAAAAGGTTCTGGAGATTTTTTTTTTAACTCATCAAATGGGTCAATTCAATACTTATATGGAGTTGTCTACACAAATATCATTCTCCTATTTAGCCTTATTGACGTAATCTCCATAGGTTAACCACACTTTCTGATCCCTTCTAATTTTTGCTTATTTCACCAGATAATGTCTGTATTATAAGTATGTAGCGAGAAAAAGCAATATTACAAAATAAAATAGTGTAACTCCATTGGCAACTCAACATGCTCATAGTTAATGTATATTTATACTGTCAATCTTACTACTACATTGTGAGTAGTGGATACCCGGTTTATTGCACAAGAGGATTTAGTATAAATAACATTGATTGCGCAGCCTTCTCGGTTCCTATCCACAAAGAAGAGAACCTGTTTTAATATATGTTTACATACAATGAGTTGTAATGTGAAAATTGATGAGCTTTTAGCCAAGTTCTAATGTAGTGAATTAATGGAATTTATTTACAAAGAAAAGTCACTGAAGCATTTTATCCACTTCGATTTCCTTCCAATTCTAATGCAGTTTTGTTCCATTTCAGGTTTTGGGATCAACTGATAATGTTTACTTGAAGAAATGAGAGTTCAACATAGCACCTTTGTTAGCCAAATACAGACTTCTAGAACCTTCCTAGAAATCAATCCTCAGATGTTCAGTTGAGCCTTCAATACTTGCTAAGGAACTTTATCCTGAGGATCATGTGCTACTGGTACATATAGCTTAGAAGCATTAGAAATTGATCCTTAGATGCTTTAAAAGCGAACGTTCCTGAGGCCATGGACGTCTAGAGGAAAGAAAGACAACTTTAAATCAAAAGGTAAACAAACTGAAATTCATGAGAGCCTCTGTTCTGAAAATCTGGTCATGAATGAACCTGATAATGTGAATTCCTCATCTATCTTTGTGGTTGAGAATTCAGAATAAATAAAAAATTCATCTATAACGGAACCTAGTTCTGAAATTAAAAGCCGTGAATAGCATGGATGAGTCTATTGAGGTAAATGTGACTGAAAATGAACCGAATGTTTCAGTTTAGGAAAGGAACTTGATTGATTGTACTGAGACCATAGAAAGTTACATGAGTGAAAAGGAGATTGGATAATAGGTTGATGTATCTTGAAAAATAAACACTAATCAAATAAAAACCACTGGTCATATATCTTTTGTACAATGTGACTATAAGTTCATGCACTAATTTAGATTTTTTGGGTTATTCCTCAGGTTGGTTTATTCTCAGTTGCAAATGAGAGAACATCTTTAAATCTTCAGAAGATCCATTTGGGAAGGTTGGGTCAACTAGAGCAGGAAAGAACGACTTTCAGACATACAGAAACACATATGCATCTCAAAGTCTAGGTGGAAACATTCAGAAGGATAAATCCTTTTATGTGGATTCAACGGCTGATGCAAAAATGTAAGGCCTTTAATTTCCAGTAGATGGAGTTAATTTCTATATATTTTCGGACAATTCTAATACGAAAGCATTGCAAAATTTTGTTTCAATTGCAGATTTATATAAAATTAACTGATCCTATAAATTTGAAAGTTCAAAACATTGTACGAAGATGTCAGATGGATTTTTCATGCATGTAACATACTGTAAGAGTTGAAGTTTAAAATGTACATTGTAGATATGAGTAGTTTGATTCACTAAAATTTGGTAGATTAATTAAGAATTATAATTCGCCATTTTAATTTTTTATGATTTCTTACTGATAATATTAAGGACATGAAAAGGGTAAAGATGTCATTAAGGTATGAGATATGAGGTATTTGCAATTACTGAAGGGGTGTATTTGTAATTTCACCAATCAGAAGATAATTAGTTAGGTTCTATTTGCTACTTTTCACAATCCAAAATTTGTAAGTATATTTACATAAACGATCTTACAGTTATTTAAAGGGTTAATGGCAATTTCACCCCTATGATTTGAAAAATAGCAATTTACCCCCTTGTGAAAATTTAAAAAAATCAATGTACCCCCTTGAGCCGGAGATTGTAACTCACTTGTCGAAATTGAGAGTGGGCATGAAAAATATTTTGTAACATAGGGGGGTAAATTACCACATTTATTACAATACAGGGGGTAAATTGTCACATTTATCATAACACAGGGGAGTAAAATGCTACATTATCATAACACAGGGAGGTAAAATGCCACATATAAAAATGTCAGGGAGGCAGTGTGAAACTTTTATAAAATTACAAGTGGGTAAAATGCTCTTTTTCAAATCACAGGGAGGTAAGTTACCATTAACTCTTTATTTTTATGAATATAATTTAGCGAATCATACACGGGAGGGCATGTAGCGACCATCTTAGACTTGTTGCTATAAATGTAATTGTAACAACCATCTGAAACTTGTTACTATGGATTTAGACTTAGCGACCATAGAAGTTGGTTGCTGACATTCATCAGGGGCAGATAAGTAGCGATCATCTTAGGCTTGTTGCTGTGATCACGATTTTAGCGACCATCTTAAACTCGTCGCTGGAGATTAACACTTACTGACCAAGATAATTGGTTGTTGTTATCCAACTCAACAGAGCAAGTAATGACCATCTCAGATTTGTTGCTATAAATATAATTTTAGCGACCGTATTAAACTTGTTGTTGAGGATTTACAATTAGTGACCATTATAAATTTGTGGCTAGATATTTACGCTTAGCGACCACAATAATTGGTTGCTATTATCCAACAAAGTGGACCAAGTAACGACCATCTCAAAGTTGTTGTTGTAAATATAATTTTAGCGACCATCACAAGCTCGTTGCTGGAGATTTGCACATAGCAACCATAAACAATGGTTGCTGGCATCCAACTTTAGAAATGAGTGCAACCATTCAAAAATTTGTTGCTAAAAAAGGTCACTATAGATGTTTACCTACAACGACCATGAAATTCCTCGCTATAAGAATATAAAATGGTTACTATGATTGTGGCAGACCTTCATCGACCATTTACTGCCACCAATTGGTCTTTGGCTGCAAAAGCATTGACACAATCAGAAATCAACAACCATTTGACTTTTGGTTGCAACACATGGACATATAGCAACCATTTCAACTTCGTCGCTGAGATTTTGGTTGCTAAAGTCAATATTTGTTGTAGTGTTAGGTTTTGTACCAATTTTTGGTTTTAACTTTTGTAGACCGTTCTTTTAGGAGATCGATGAGTTTGTACAGACCCAATCGGTTTTGCTCAAAGATTTTCTATTTTACTTAGGTTTTGTACCAATTTTTGGTTTTTACCTTTGTAGATCGTTCTTTTAGGAGATCGATGAGTTTGTACCGACCTAATCGGTTTTAGTCAAATATTGTTTGTACTTAGGTTGTATACCAATTATTGGTTTTAACCTTTGTGGATCGTGTTATCGATGAGTTTATACCGACTCAATCGGTTTTACTCAAAGATTGTTTGTACTTAGGTTGTATACCAATTATTGGTTTTAACCTTCGTAGATCGTATGAAATAT